GACCTCCAAGGTCCCTTCCAACTCTTGTTATTCTGTACATATACTGTACCTGTGCATTTTGTTTTTCTTGGCTAAGTGTAGAACCTTACTTTTCAGAGGTCCCTTTCTTGCCTAAATGTAGAACCTTACTCCTCAATTTACAACAATTCATTTAGCGACTGCTCAGAGTTACAATGGCCCTGAAAGAAGTGACTTACGACCGGTTCCTGCGCTTATGACTGTTGTGGCATCCCCATGGTCATGTGATCAAAATTCAGGCACATGACAAGCGTCATGTATAAGTGACTGGCAGCATCCCGGGGTCGTGTGATCATTATTGGCAATCTTCCCAGCCACTTTCTGACAAGTAACGTCAATGGGGGAAGCTGAATTCACTTAAGGACTGCGCAATTCACTTAACAACTGCAGTAATTCACTTAACAAAAAAGAGCCTGATTGGCGCAGCAGACTAATGCAGCAGACTTAAAAAAAAAAAGTAGTATTTAGCTTCCAGCTGCCTGCAATTACTGCGAGTTCAATTCTCGCCAGGCTCAAGGTTGACTCAGCCTTCCATCCTTTCTAAGGTAGGTAAATTGAGGACCCAGTTTGTGGGGGCAATAAGCTGACTTTGTAAAAAATATACAAAAGTATGAAGGCTATTGCTTAACGCACCGTAAGCCGCCCTGAGTCTCCGGAGAAGGGCGGCATATAAATTTTTAAAAAACCAGCTGTGGTACACACATAAAAAGTTCATAAAATCATGGATGTTTTACTTAGGTAACCGCCTTGCTTAGCAATGCAAATTCTGGTCTCAATTGTCATAAGTTGAGGCCTAACTGTAAAACAGGTGGGAAGTACACCTCGCCTTTTAAATGCCACATCAACTGGTTAACAGCATGAGGTTTTATGCCAATGCTGGGCTTTTTAACGTTTTAGGAAAAGAATAGCAGCAGAAGGTTACCATTTGATGTATTTAATTTCGCTCTGCTCAATCCAAGCAATGCACAACAAAGCTTAAAGCAATGAATACATATATAAAACCACTTCTAATTACACTGAATAACAGAATACAGTGGCACCTCAGTACTCAACTGCTTTGAAACTCATCGAATTTGGTCCTCAACGCATTTTTGACATGAAAATTTGGTCCCGGTACTCATCGTTTGTTTGGTAGTCGAGGCACAAGCTAGAACTTGTCATAGTCGGCTGCCTTGTGACTCACTACCCTGTTTCCCCCAAAATAAGACATTCCGTGATAATAAGTCCAATTGGGCTTTTGAGTGCATGGCAATAAGGCCAAGCGCTTATTTCAGGGTTCAAAAAAATACAAGACAGGGTTTTATTTTCAGGGAAACACGGTAGATAGAGATAGATAGATAGATAGATAGATAGATAGATAGATAGATAGATAGACAGACAGACAGACAGACAGACAGACAGACAGACAGACAGACAGACAGACAGATATAGATGAGAGATGTGGATGGATAGATATGGAGAGATGTGTAGAGAGATGAGAGATGGAGAGGGATAGAAATGTAGATGATGGATAGATGAGGATGGATAGATGGATAGAGATGTGGATGGATAGATGGATAGATAGATAGATAGATAGATAGATAGATAGATAGATAGATAGAGCGATGGGTGGATAGATAGATAGATAGATAGATAGATAGATAGATAGATAGACCCTGTTTCTCCCAAAATAAGACATTCCGTGATAATAAGTCCAATTGGGCTTTTGAGCGCATGGCAATAAGGTCAAGCGCTTATTTCAGGGTTCAAAAAAATACAAGACAGGGTCTTATTTTCGGGGAAACACGGTAGATAGAGATAGATAGATAGAGATAGATAGATAGATAGATAGATAGATAGATGATAGATAGATAGATAGATAGATAGATAGATAGATAGATAGAGATGAGAGACGTGGATGCATAGATATGGAGAGATGTGTAGAGAAATGAGAGATGGAGAGGGATAGAAATGTAGATGATAGATAGACAGATGGATAGATGAGGATGGATAGATGGATAGAGATGTGGATGGACAGATGGATAGAGCGATGGGTGGATAGATAGATAGATAGATAGATAGATAGATAGATAGATAGACCCTGTTTCTCCCAAAATAAGACATCCCCTGATAATAAGCCCAATCGGGCTTTTGAGCGCATGGCAATAAGGCCAAGCGCTTATTTCAGGGTTCAAAAAAATATAAGACAGGGTCTTATTTTCGGGGAAACATGGTACATTATTCCTTATGGGAATAATGTTTGTTTGGTATTCATCGTTTTTGGTACTCATCGTGCCTCCCGAAACCAATTAAGAATGAGTACCGAGCTATCACTGTAACAGGATAACAGAGTTGGAAGGAACCTTGGAGGTCTTCTAAGTTCAACCTTCTGTTCAAGCAGGAGTACCTATACCCGTATTGGCGAATGAAACTGTGCATGCGCGCGCACCCCAGCTGGTGGTCAGGCCTCTGGTGCGCATTTGTGCAATTCAGGGGACCCAGCTGGCCTTCAGAGCTCTCCTGCATGCACGCGAGATTGTGCACGCGTGCGCAGACAGCGTTTGTGCACGTGCATTGCGTGCGAGAAAGCTGTGCGCATGTGCATATGCGGTTGTGCATGCAGCATGCGCTAGTGCGCGTGCACAAAAGATGTGCGCATGCACAGATGGTGCAGTTGCGCACGCAGCACATGGGGTGGTAAGCCGCGTGTTACTGCGGATGGCAGGCGAGCATGCGCAAGGCGCGAAGTGCATTCCTGTTCGGCACTCAGTAAGTAAAAGGTTTGCCACCACTGAACTATACCATTTCAGAGAAATATCCATTTTCTTCTTCAAAACGTCCAGTGATGGAGCATCACAACTTCTGGAGATGAGCTGTTTTCACGGATTCGTTGTTCTTAGTGCCAGGATGTTTTGACCTAGGCTCCCTTAAAAAGCAGGAAGCAGAGTCTTGGTCCCGGCAAAACCTCTTTTATTTACACGACTGTGAATTCTTTTCATTCACAGTTAGGAGGCCTGTCCAAACAGTCTTTCAAAGGAATATTTATCAACACAGACCTTATCTCGCTTGGAAAGCTGCCAGATAGCTACTTTCCAAATGCAATGCAAGGCAAAACTTGGCATAGAGTCTCTCAGAATCACGGAACGAATGAATTGTTTCCTGCAAAAGCCCCCTCCCCGTTCGCTCCTCTTTTGTTTCCTATGGGAGGGGCCAATCACTGTTCTGTCTCCGTCCCACACACGCACCTCCACAGACGGCCCGAGTTAATAAGCCACACGACAAAATCTTTGAAGATAAAGCTGGCAGCAACCCAGTGGCTAGCTGCCAATTCAGACTTTACTCACATAAAACAAAGATTAGACTGCAAGCATTCCGCTAAAGCAGGCAAAGTTTCCGCAATACAAGGATCAATCCAAATGCAGTCCGATAAAGCAGGCAAAGTCCAGTAACGCAGAGATCATGGAGTATTTCCAGTTTTTGCTCGTCACAAACTGAACCGGCCACCACACCCACATTTATACCCTGTGGGGTGTGGTCCAGTGACTCAGCTAATCTCTGGCACGCCTTCCCTTCTGCTGCGCACGCTTCTCCCTGCGCCTCTGCCGAGGGTCCAGCCAGCACTTATCTCCTTCGTCGCTGTCCACCTGTGGCTGCGGGGACGTGCTTGGCTCTGGGCCTATCTTTTGGCCTTCGGTGTCCTCCGGAGGCATTGCCAGAGAGGAGGGTCCTGGAGAGGGAGGCCTTGCCAACTCCTCTCCCTCACTCTCAGAGTCTGCATCTCCGTTGCCCAGGCTCAGGCAACGGAGCCACAACAATCACCTCCAAGGTGTGGCTTTACTCCTAAATCGACCCTGCTCTCTTAGTTGTTCTTGTCTTCTGGCAGCTCTGCGCATGCACACACATGGGAACAGGCTCCAGCTGTTCCTCTGCCTCACTGCTGTCTAGCTCCCTCTCTGCCTCCGACACAGAGCCCTCATCCGATCTTTCCCCAGCCCCCAGGACTGGCCCAGTTTCCTCCCTAACCTCCTCACTGTCCGACTCTGCTGGCCACCGGCGGGCCACAACACAGGAAATGTCTCCTACATTCTAGGTTGGATCTCTAAATGATCTTTGTGAAATTTTATTTCGATTTCATGGCAAATCAAATTGTGAATAGAAGTTGTTATAACTTAGATAAGGATGTAAGTTAAGATAGTGATAGAAGTAGAATTTGTGTATGGAAGTTAATTAGGATAGAGATACTAATGTAGAAAAGCTGTTACTAGTGTTTAAAATTTGATGTGTTTGTTTGTTTGTTGAAAAGTTTTATAGGAAATACAAACATTTTCTCCCCCCCCCCCCCTCACCCCCTCCCTCCCCCCTTACCCTCCCACCCATCCCCCCCCCCGACTTCCCAGAACAAGCACAGGGTATAGCATTCACAAACATAAAACTAAAATGTGCTAACAAATTATTGACTTCAAATTCTCTCTAGGTCTTTAACTCCTTATAGCTCAAAACCCTATAAACATAAACTAACGATTAAAAATGTTTCATTCATAAGCTATATGAATCTTCTTAGTCTGATACTTGTTTTGAATATAGTTGATCCATCTTCTCCATTCCGATATATATATCTTTCGTTTGAATGATCTTTAAGATATGATGAAATTTTTGCCATCTCAGCCAGATGCACAACTTTTAATGTCCATTCCTCAATAGTAGGTGGATCTTCCTTCTTCCAGTACTGTGCCACCAGTAACTTGGCAGCTGTTATTAAATTCAAAACCAACTTAGTCTCTATTACAGTACAAACAAATTTGTTTGTTTTTGTTGTGTGTTATGGTTTTCTATTTTTTGCTCTTTTCTATTTTTTATATTATTTTAATGTTTGAAAATTCAATAAACATTATTGAATAATAATAATGTTACATTATTGAATAATAATGTTTTATTTCGAAAGCCCAGGGGGTATCTGGTGGTGTTCCTGTGTGGCGATAAACCCTAATTTGGGGTTTGCTCACCTGATCGATGTTTAAAGGGAGCCACGTTTTCCTTCTCTTGTGCAGCGCAAACGGGAGAACATCAGCTCCGTGCTTTGGCGGATGAGGAGGCAGCTGCTCCTCGAACTGATGGGGATTCTGCCCACCGTCCGGAGTTTGCACATCCCCGAGGAGGCCGAGCCAGACATGGAACCCAACATCTCGGTCTATTCTGGGCTGAAGGAGGAACACGTCGTCAAAGCCAGCGCCCTCCTGCGCCTCTACTGTGCTCTGATGGGCATTGCCGGCTTAAAGTGAGCAGCTCTCAATCTTCCGTGGACTTAGTCATCCTACGATGGGCAATGTGGCGCTCTCATGTGACCCCCCCTCCTGCGCGAGCTACACTGGCTCCCGGTGGTCTTCCGGGTGCGCTTCAAGGTTTTGGTTACTACCTTTAGAGCGCTCCATGGCTCAGGACCAGGGTACTTACGAGACCGCCTCCTGCCACCAGTAGCCTCTCACCGACCAGTTCGCTCCCATAGAGAGGGGCTCCTCGGGGTACCGTCGGCCAAACAATGTCGACTGGCGGCCCCCAGGGGGAGAGCCTTCTCTGTGGGGGCACCCGCCATCTGGAACGAGCTCCCCCTGGAGATACGGAGGATCCAAGACTTACGCATCTTCCGCCACGCCCTAAAAACGTTTTTATTCCAACAGGCTGGTCTGGCCTAACTCCCCCTTTTAAATTGGCTTTTAAATTGGCTTTTAAATCTCTTTTAGATAAATTTGGATGTTTTAATCTTTGAGCCTAAATTATTTAATCTGTTTTTTAATAGTTTTTAACTTTTGTATGTCTTTATTTTATTTATGGCTGTTCACCGCCCTGAGTCCTTCGGGAGTAGGGCGGTATACAAATATGAAAAATAAAAAAAATAAAAAATATTTGCGGGTGGCCGTTTTCCAGTGCTCCGGCGTCCGCGAAGACCAGAAGAGCAGCTGATGATGGTGTGCATGCCCACAGAAAGGGCTCTACATGCCACGTCCGACACGCGTGCCATAGGTTTGCCATCACGGGCCTGCAGTATCCAAAACGGATAAACCCTTGTCCAATTTGAATGTCTTCGCTTCCTTATTTCTCTTTCCCAAGGAACCTGGGTCAGATTTTGACTTCTTTCTCCTCCCTGCTTTGTCTGCATACCTCCCAGAGGCTCTAAAATTAGTATATTTTTTTTCCAGACATGGCCGCAAACAATGAGTGGCTATTTTATTTCTCTCCCCCCCCTCCTCTTACTCACCAGGATCTCATCCTGAAAAAACAGAGCCGCACCAGCAGAAACAACAGGAGCAAAGAAAGGAAAAATTATTACTCAAAAAACAAAACAACAAAAAAAAAAGCAATTGGAAGGAAGAAGCTGTGCCACCAAAAGTGTGTGTATATATATACATAGAGAGAGAGACGCACACATAAATGCATAGATATACACACATATACATATAGCTTTCCCGATTTGATTCCACCGAATGCAGACACCACAATATTCAGACTTACTCCACACCCGTAGAGGACGATGGGAACTGTAGTCTCAAAACATTTGGAGCATGCTAACTTTCGGAAGACCGGGAGATGATAACCCCCCCCCCAAATGTTTATGACTGGAGATGTTAGCCCGAAACATTTCAAAAAAAAAAAAACCTCATGCCACAAAAGGAAATTTGCTTAAGTTAAAAAGGAGAAGAAAGAAGAAAGGGGAAAAATTAAGCATAGGGGCTGATCTTGAGAGAGGAGGCCAGGGCCATCTAGGAGTTATGTGCGGACTCCGGAGCCTCCGAAGTCGGACATCAGCGAGGCAGAGGAACAGGGGGAGCCTGTTCCCAGTGCGCGCATGCGCAGAGCAGCCAGAAGGCAAGAATAGTTAAGACAAAAGGGACGACTCGGGAGTAAGGCTTGGAGATGATTGGCCCCTCCCATAAGACATAAAGGAGGCACGTGAGCCTTTGCAGGAAGCAACTTTGTTCGTTCTGGCTGGTTTAAATTCTGAAGCTCCGTTTTTGACTCTGTGCTCGGTGTGGCCTTGCAAAGCTAATTGCCAATGAGGTCTTCGGCAGCATGTCAAGGGAGATAAAGGAAGCCTAGGCCAGAACCCCTACCCATCTTGAAAAATGGGGTGAAAACGGGAGCCGATGGATGGCCAATGTATAGAAACCGAATTTATCTACGTAGAGGACACGGTCCACATCTCCCGACATCCACAATGGACATTAATGAAATCATCCACCATAAATCATGCCAAATAACACTGAAGACCACTGACATCCATTCACGACACGGGAACCCCCTAACGTTCAATTATTGAGGGATTCTTCTTACCTGATTCCCGGCTGTTTTTTTCTTACTCATTTGGCTGCTCCTTTGCTGAGCACTGCAAAAGAGAAATTTATTTATATATATATATATATTTATTTATATAGAAGTGGGTGTGGCTCACTGATGATGCCTTAAAAGGCAGAAATAGCTATCTGAGTCTCCCAGAGAGCAACACAGAGTTGCAGTTTGTCAGCAGAAAAAAGGCCCAGAAACTTGTGAATGAGATTTCACAGAACCAGGGCTGTAGAACAACTTAGTTTACGTAGGTAAAACCTGGCTAGAAAGAATATGCATATATATTCGCGATCAGAATAGAGCGGGAAAGGGACCTTGGAGGTCTTCTAGTCCAACCCCCTGTTCAAGCAGGAAACCCTATCCCATTTCAGCGAGGAGGCTGTCCACTCCTTTCTTAAAAACCTCCAGTGACGAAGCATCCACAATTTCTGGAGGCAAACTGTTCCACTGGTTAATTGTCCTCACTATTGGGAAGAAAATATATTTAAAGACCTAAAACATTAGATGGCCTCTGGAAAACCCAAAGATCCTTTTTCAAAAGGCAAATGGACTTCCTTTGTTTTTCCTTGAAGATGTTTTGCTTCTCGTCCAAGAAGCTTCTTCAGTTCTAGCTGAAGAGTCTTCTTGGATGAGAACTGAAGAAGCTTCTTGGATGAGAAGCGAAATGTCTTCAAGGAAAAACGAAGTCCAGTTGCCTTTTGAAAAAGCACCTTTGGGACAATCATGACCAGGAGGACTAAGAATGTCCGTAGCCTTCTGGAAAAGCCGTGTTTTCAACTTTCCCCAGGAGGCAGAGTTAACATCTGGGTGAAATTTGTCCAAGAGGAACAACTTCAACACCAAAAAGATGGGCTGAAGTCATCTCATAGAAGTACGTTTTGACTTACTTGGCAAACCCAATGAAGTCTTCATGATTGGTATTCATATAGGCGAGTTCAATATCTATCAAGAGCATGACCTGAGAACGAAAACCATGAAGAAGCATATGAGATCTCTCAAAATGACCATCAACATCTCGACAATAAGCTCATGGTTACTAACGCCAGAATACTGCGTCAGGGCCTCCAAAACTGTGAGTCTTCTGCTCCTGTAACCCATAGGGAGGGGGATTATGGGAGTTGAAGTCCAGCTCGTCTGGTGGCTCTCCAGAGGTGGAAAGCTGGGCTTTGTTGGGGGAAAAGCTTGGACTCCAAATGAAAAACTGCCCTCTGAAAGGGGGCAGTTGGGTGGCTACAGAAATGGGAAGCATCTCCAGACAGGAGTCCCCAACCTTTCGGACCTCAGGGAACACTAAATCCATAATTTTCAATCCCGCAGACCTCTAATACAATTTCCTGGGTGGACGTGGCTAGGTGGCCATGTGACTGGGTGGGCGTGGCCAACTTGATGGCCAACTCGATGTCACTCATGTGGAGGGGTGCCTCGCTGGCCTCTACTCGCCGCTCCCCTACCAGCCACTCCTCGCCTCCTCGCCCGGGCTCCTTAGCATCCCAACAGGAGGCAGTTGTTGGAGCTAAGCAGCCACCACGAGAAAGTTTTGGCAAAACAGCTCACTTCAAATTGGATCTGGCCGAGAAGGAGGCTCAGCAGAAGCACCTCCCTGAGGACTAGGAGCATAGGCTTTCCAAGCAGAGGGAAGACCTGTGGGAGTGCAAGGCCAGGTACCGGCGCCTGGAGGCTCAGTGGGCTGAGATGGTCAGCCGGTTCCAGACAATGATGCTGTCCCACTGGAACGAGGCTCTCCGGCTCTTCGCCACCAGCGGCCCTTCCCTCCAGCCTTCGCCCAAAGCCCCACACCAGGAGGCCGAAGCAGACCCCAAGTCGGAATTTCTGCCCCCCTCCGACCCACACAAAAAGACCCCGAAGGGGGAGACTCTTTGCAGCAACACAAACATTCATTGCATGTATCCAGCTCAGGGGCCGTAGTTTGAGGACCCCTGATTTAGTGCAATATAAAAAAAATGCAAATAATTTTTCTGAGGACCACCAACATTTCCACGGACCACCAGTCGGTGACTGCTGAGATAGAACATACCTGCTCTTTGGTCCTTCCTTCTCTCTCCCGGATGTAAGTGGTCACGATACGCTCCATCTCCTCTCGCAAGTGAGGATATTGGACTAGCTGTATGGGGAGGAAAAATGGAGAGGGAAGAATGTCCACTCAGAGAAGAAGGAGGTGGAAAACATACCCCAAAACCCTCCAAGAGTATCTGGCCAAGGTTGTTGTGGAGCGTGAGAAAGCAAGAGGGAAGAATATGGGAAAAAGGGAAAGCTGTGAAGATGTTTTCCAACGTTCAACCAAGTTTGGAAGTTCTTCCTTAAGGCGCATTTTGTAAGCCTGCCTTCAATCATGGTGGGTTTTCATTTCAGTGTAGGACAAATCCATCTATGGTGGCTTGCAAATCACAGCTTAGGGAATCAATATGTGGAGTGCGTCAGGCTAACCGGGCCTTAACCAATCAACCACGTTTCAAGGAACCATGGCTTGAGGTGATGCCGATAGCAACGTCTCCCATGCCAGGAGGATGACGTTGAAGATGAGTTATGGAGTACATCCAAACACATTTTAATTTTTTTTAAATTTAATTTTATGGAATTAACGATAGCCACCCCTTCAGAAGACCCTGGGTGGGTTTAACAAGGAAGCCATCCTTAACCATCATTTAACAAGGGGTAAGGAGGCTATTTATGATGTTTTGATGTTTGCTGTTGTTTCGGAGCAGTGTTTCTTGACCTCGGGCCCCCTTTGAAGGTGTGTGGACTTCAACTCCCAGAATTCAGCTGGCTGGGGGGGAATTCTGGGAGTTGAAGTCCACACATCTTCAAGGAGCCAAGGTTGAGGAACATCACACTGGACCACAAGTCTCCACACCTTGGTTACTCTACGATGTGTGGACTTCAACTCCCAGAATTCCTCAGCCAGCTAACATGGCTGCCTGAGGAATTCTGGGAGTTGAAGTCCACAAGTCTTAAACTTGCCAAGGTTGGAGACCCCCGGAGAACATCTTCTTTCTCGCTGGAGACAGCAAAAACCAGATAAATAAACAAACCCCAGTTTGGAAATTGGAAAACATCTTCCCAACTCTTCTTATCCAAAACAGAACCCACCCCATTCCTCTCCCAACCCCCAACCCCACCCCTAAAAAAATTGCAAAAAAAAAAAAGTTCCCCCACGTTTTGACTGTCGCTATTTGGCACGTCTCATGCGGGGGGGGGCAGGGAAGCATCCAACGTTGTGGGAAAGCGAGGACATGCACGACAACGACACGGGTGGGGCCACGAGCAATGCACAACACAGATACAGCCGTTTCCCTCCCCACCCCCACCCCCAAAAAAGGATCATGCGTTGGGGTGCAAAGGGGAGGGGAGAGGGGGCTGTAAGATAAGCAGCACCCAGAAAATGCCATCCTTTTGAACAAGAGAGCGGGCAAATCGGAGGAGGGGGACTGGCGGACGCCTTAAAATTAGGGGTGCCATCAAATTCAGCCTCAACAGACACCCCGTTTCCTGCTCCTAAATCTTTCTAACTAGGGGTGAAATCCAGCAGGTTCTGACAGGTTCTGGAGAACCGGTAGCGGAAATTTTGAGTAGTTCGGAGAACCGGCAAATACCACCTCTGTCTGGCCCCAGGAGTGGGGAGGGAATGGGGATTTTGCAGTATCCTTCCCCTGTCACGCCCACCAAACCACGCCCACAGAACGGGTAGTAAAAAAAAATCTGGATTTCACCACTGTTCCTAACCATGATCCCAGAGGAAGACGCCTCTCCCTGCAAACCAGGGCTTGTCAGATCCCCTGATCCACCGCTAACCTACATCTCCAAACAGCTTTTTCCCCGGAATTGATGCTACCCAGTCCCCCCACTCTTCCTACCAATGGCCACGATCCAGGGGGGTATCCTAACCCTGACTTGGAATTAGGATTTCTTGGTGGGCATGATGTTAATAAGCTTTGCTCCCTGGCCAGAGCGACAAATCTGACTCACTCGTTAAAGAAGCCGTGGAAAAGAGCAGTTTCCTGCTCCTAAATCTTTCTAACTAGGGGTGAGTTAGTTTGTGGCTTAATCCCCTGTCCGAACATAGAAAATGGCTGCTGGGATCAGGACGCCGGGGAAACGAAATTGGTGAATCCTGGAGAGCGAGACTCCACCACGACAGATCATCCTTTGAGCAAGTTCCTGCTTCATTGGCTTGGACTACATGTCCCCTCGTTCTTGATTGCCTCCCAAAACTAACCTCCTTTCCCAAGTGGGTCTCATATTTTTCCTTGCTTCGAGAGGGCCAGGATGAATACAGAATAACAGAGTTGGAAGGGAACTTGGAGGTCTTCTAGTCCAATCCCCTGCTCAGGCAGGAAACCTGCCTAGACCATTTCAAACAAATGGTTGTCCAATCTCTTTTTGGAAAACTTCCACCTGGAGGGAAGCCATTCCGCTGGTCTATTGTTTTTGCTGTCAGGAAATTTCTCCTCAGTTCTAGGTTGCTTCTCTCCTTGCTTAGTTTCCATCCGTTGCTTCTTGTCTTGCCTTCAGGGGCTTTGGAGAGTAGCTTGACTCCCTCTTCTTTGGGGCTGCCCCTCAGATATTGAAAGACTGCTGTCATGTCACCTCTAGTCCTTCTTTTCATCAAACCAGACATTCCCAGTTGCTGCAACCGTCCTTCATATGTCCCAAAGGTGCTTTTTTCAAGAGGCAACTTTGCTTTCTGGTTTTTCTTGGAAGATGTTTCGCTTTTCATCCAAGAAGCTCCTTCGGCTCTGGATAAGAAGCGAGCCGAAGAAGCTTCTTGGATGAGAAGCGGAACGTCTTCCAAGAAAAACCAGAAAGTCCAGTTGCCTCTTGAAAAAGCACCTTTGAGACAACCATGACTTGGAGGATGGAGAATCTTCATAGACATCTTTCATACGTTTTAGCCTTCACTTCCCCTAATCATCTTGGTTGCTCTTCTCTGCACTCTTTCCAGAGTCTCAACATCTTTTTTTTAATGTTGTGATGACCAGAACTGGATGCAGTATTCCAAGTGTGGCCTTACCAAGGCATTATAAAGTGGTATGGATGATCTTGATTCTATCCATATACTAGCTGGATACCTGTGCTTCGTTATGAAACTATGGGATTGGGTGGCGATTTGTAAGTGGAAGGCGTAGACATTTTGGTGAGGTAGCAACGTTTAGTACTGTAAGGAGCCCCAGACCCCTCCTGAGTGAAGGAGTGGAACGTCTGCCAGTTTGAACTGAGGTAATAATGGAATGTAAGGCAACTGGCAGTTGGAACAGAGTTCTTTTCAGGTGGGGAGGGGGAAGTAGAACATCTAACTCCTTAGCATCAGAGCATGTTAATCAGGGGTGAAATGCTCTGAAGTCTGCTACCAGTTCGCTTCGCTACTGGCTCACTTCGTGCGAGCATGCGCGGTGCACGCCAAATGCTACTGCGCAGCGTTGAAAAAGGAGGATTAAGAAGCCTTTTCTTAGTCTGCAAAGGTAAGTAGAACAGCAGGATTTCCAATATAAATCGTGCGGCACAGCTGATCGTCGGAAAGACCAGTTCGCCCGAACCAGTAGCATTTCACCCCTGGTGTTAATATAATACTGTATACGAAATACTAATGATCGGGTGGTCATTTCGAAAAATCCTTTCTTAGCGAGCACCTAGAAGCCAAGAGGAACTTACATACCAAATTTCAAGTTTGTAGGCTTTACCGTTCTGGAGATTTCGTGATGAGTGAGTGGATTTCGCTTTTTATACAGAGAGATTCTTGATTCTACGGCTTTCTATATTCCTTCTGAGGCCACGTTGGCCTCTGTTCCACCCCCTTCTCCGAAAAATTTTGATTTCTCTTTCAGGCAGATCTGTCATCTCTTCTCCATTCTTCACCGACACCCACAAAGGGGCTGTTGGAAAAAACAGATGGATCCATTTCCTGTCTCGTTTAGCAATTCTTAGGAATGATTTCCCCCTTTTTTTCCCCCCCTCTCTCCTCTCAGATGCAGGATTTTTAAAACGGGGTTTTTTTTTCTTCTTTTCTTTCTTTTTTCTTGCCACGGGGCGGGTTTTGCCTGAAATGAGTTCACCGTTGAGGAATTTGGGGAGCAGGAAGCCATTGTCGGACAGAGAAAAACAAAACAAAACAAAAATACGGGAAAATGTTGTTTAAACAGCTTCAAGTTTTCATTCATCCCCAAAGCAGGGAGTCCTCGATTTGCAATTGTTCGCTTAGTGACCATTTGAAGTTACAACGGCACTGAAAATAGTGAGACGTCACCACAGATTTCATTGCAGCATCCCCAGGTTCACATGATCAAGGTTGACTCGTCCTTCCGTCCTTCCATGGTTCGGTAAACGAGAACCCAGATTGTTGGGGGCAATAGGTTGACTCTGTAAACCGCTTAGAGAGGGCTGTAAAAGCACTGCGAAGCGATATATACTAAGTCTAAGTGCTATTCTGCTATTGATGTAGCTGCATTAGGAGCCATGGTGGCGCAGTGGTTAGGATGCAGAATTGCAGGTTAATTCTGCCCACTGCCAGGAGTTCGATCCTTTCTGGTTCAAGGTTGATTCAAACTTTCATCCTTCTGAGGTCGGTAAATATGAGGACCCAGAATGTTGGGGGCCATAAACTGACTCTGTAAACCACTTAGAGAGAGCCATAAAGCACTGTGAAGCGGTATATAAGTCTATTACTATTGATCTGTTTCTATCTATGTCTGTCTATCTATCTATCTATCTATCTATCTATCTATCTATCATCTATCTACCTATCTATCCACCTATTTACCTATCTATCCACCCATCTACCCACCCACTCATCCATCCATCTAACATATCTATCTATCTATCTATCTATCTATCTATCTATCTATCTATCTATCTATCTATCATCTATCTATCCATCCATCCATTCATCTATCTATCTTAATATCTATATCTATCATCTATCTATCTATCTATCTATCTATCTATCTATCTATCTATCCTAATATCTATATATCTATATCTATTTATCCTAATATCTATATCTATATATCTATATCTATATCTATATCTATTATATCTATATCTATCTATATCTATCTATCTACAGTATATCTATCTATCAATCATCTATCTATCTATCTATCTATCTAT